TATTGAAGAAGAAACATGCTTTAAAGCCTACATACCAGAAGGAAGAAGTTATGTATTTCAATTATTTGGGAGTGGATATAAGAAGCCACTGAGACCTCTTAGAGACACAGTCAGAAAAGCAACGACCACTGCAGGTCCATTAAATGACAAACAAGGTATTTTGCAATTCTTTTTTCCAAGAGTTGTCAGTAAATATTCTCCATTAAGTTCTTTCTCAAACATTTTATGTATCAGTAGGACTAATTTCTCCAATCCGTCTGAATAAGTTTGTTAAGTATTCTTTAGATCTGCATTATTTTAAGTATGCTTTAGATTTGTATTCTGCAGATCCTCTGCATCCGTTTTCTGAGTTGCCGTTAACAAAATTAGTATAAATAGCCATTACATGATAATCGAGCACGGCACAGGAAAAAGTATTCTTTACTTAGCTATCTTGTTATAAATGACTTAAATTACATATATTTGAGACAAATCATACAATTAATAAAGACTATGGAGATAAAACTTAGAATCAGATTAGCATGGACAGCATTTGGAAAACCAGCTTTCATATTAACATGGACAATGACAAGGCATAGATAAATGAGCTAAGACCAAGCGAAGCCAATATTGGAACATGATTGAAAGATAGCACAAGTAAAGAGTCGATGCGGAATGTTATGAAGGTGGTGAAAGATGTCATAGAAAAAGCAACAGATACTTACAAAGTGAAAATTTTCTGCACTGCAGACTTTGGAAATCAAAAATACCCAGAGAAAACCCACAGAGGAAGGAAAGGTCCCTACTTATCCGAACTTGAATATAAAAAAGGTTTCAGATAGATCATTGCGATTGGCAGTTATTAAATGTTGTAGAAAATGTCGACAAGGAATAAAATCCACCAACGATTTGGCCAGTCCTGGACTGCACAAAGAGGAAAGGATACCAAATGGTCAAAAATGATATTACGACCAAAGGATAGACGCATGCATGCGTCTATACTCTTTGTTATGACTTCATTTTTGTTAATGCTATAAATTGGAAACACAAAATCTGCATAAAATAGTTTCCCATTAAACATATTAAATATAATAACTTCCTTCCTTTTAACGGACTACCTGAAATTGTTTAAGGTCACTTTCAATTTCCTATACGATACGACAAACCGGTAACAGCATAAAGATACCAATCATAAATCACCAAGCCTGATTTTATGCAAATCTCTCGTAGAAGGATGCAGGGAATGAGTCGGTGAGGTAATGAAGATCATTGACAAAACAAACAACCTATCAAATATATAACCGAACATTATAAGCTGATTTAGAAACGGGAATTCCTGACATTGATTTTAATTTTATGAGAAAAAAAAGTTTAATTAAAAAAACAGACGTCAATGCTTTTTAATAATAAATTGTCTGGTTCTTTTGGGTAGGTACATACATTTTTTGATACCTGGTGACGACATTTTTATAATATTTTATTACGTTTAATTTAAATTTATTACCAAGTCCGGTAGGTTTTGTCAAAAATTTGAATTCAAGAAGGAATTTTTATTTTAATAAAAACACGAGTTTGTTAAACATCTTCAACAGGTTCATTGTTCTCATTATTTAAAAACATCTACGTCAAAATTTCGCTACAATGGAAAATTTGCTTATGTACCTGCCTATCTTTGCAGCCTTTGCCTAGTACGTCTTCAGTACTAGCTTTATAATCTCAACAAAGAGAAATTTTTTATCTAGTGTGAACGCGTTCGATTGTGTTAATCATTCGAAATTAGCAAGATTGCTCCAGGAACGTTCGATAGATGAGAATGATCTTAAAATCATAAAGAATTTATATGAATCAAGTGGCATCTGGGAGAGTAGGACTGGTATCTACATCATATTTCTCAATCGAAAACGGTGTACGACAGGGTTGTGTTCTGTCACCCCTCCTTTTTAATCGTTACTCTGAAACGATTTTAGATAGAGCCTTAAGTGACAAGTTCAGATATCTCGGTAGTTGGATAACTAAAGATCTAGACCCAAACAGAGATACGTAGCAGGAATGAGCAAGCCAAAACAGCATTTACTAATATGAGAACCTTGCTAAACAACAGCAGCTTTAACCTAACACTTAGATATCGTTTTCTAAAATGTTACATTTACTCCATACTGCTATATGGTATAGAAACCTGCACCACAAAGGCCAATGTGATGAACCGATTGGAGACCTTTGAAATGTTGGTATTTAGAAGACTACTTAAAATTCCCTGGACCGATCACACAACAAATGTCGAAGTATTAAATCGAATGGACAGAGAACGAGAATTGCTGCCAATAATAAAAAGAAAAACTGCTTATCTGGGTCATATATTTCGAAATTCCAAGTACCAGTTATTAAAGCTTATCATGGAAGGGAAGATAGAACGAAAACGGGGCATCGGAAGAAAGAAATACTCATGGCTTAAAACATAAGGGATTGGAGAAACCTCGATGCCCATGCACTCTTAAGAGCCACACAAGATCGAGAGGAGTATGCCATAATTGTCGCCAACATCCACTAATTGAATAGGGCACCATAAGGAGTGTGAACAAAGGGAAAAAAGACCAGTATTCATAGTTTATAGCGCATAATATACTCTGTATAATATTGTGCTACTAATTTAATAGAAAAAATTATAGTTGGAATTTCCGAATAAGAAAAACAATCCGTGGATCCCTCTACAAATGAAATATATCAGTAAGTGAAGCAAGCGTATGTGATAACTTTTTAATCAAATGGAATTAACCGAAATATATATTTTAATGTGAAACATAGTTTAAGTATCAACTACCACAATTTTGAGGTTATCAACAAAAAGATAAGATAGTGGCGTAAGTGGTTAGGTGTAACCCTTTGTTGTTGCGTTTATTAGTATAATAAGAAGAAAAGGGCAAGCAAAAATAGAGTGACATATTAAAAAACGGGCATTCTAAACAAACATAAATAAACAATGTCGACTGGATGGTCTAGAGTCTAGGATATATAAATGTCGCTTTGGGTGCAGGAACTTTCGGGCTCAAATCCGTTTACTGTTAAATATAGATAGATATAAATGTAAAACAGACTTCCAAAAGACGAAAAAAGCTATTTAAATAGGAATCTACGCCGCAATTAAGTATAATCAAAAAATCAACATTCCACAATGTAACTATAAATGTAAAAGATACAACAGGGACAGTATTATCGCTTTTCTAATGAATACATTAAGTACATCAACATTATTTGTATGTGTCCAGTATTTCATCATATTATACGCCATACTTTCAATAATATACATATGGAATATATAAGCAATGTATATTTAAATCGATTACGATCTATCATTCATTTTAATATTATTTTATTTGTAATAAACCGATTGAAAATCACCCCATTAAAATAGTGTATGCAAATAGTAACGCTACTGACAAGAATATTTCAACAAACGCAGTATTTCATGGCTCTTGTGACCTGAAACCTTTTATCGGAATTTCCAAGTGAGGCACCAGTAAGATATATTCTCAAAAAACCCAACATAACAAATGTATGTCTATATAATATAACGTTTCACTCGACAATATAATAATTGCCTACGTTGCCTTTGTGGCTGGGTCATCCCACTAATATTTGCTTCAAATTAAAGGAAATTTTAAGAAAATTCACCTTGGCGGATCCCTCACACGACGACAATAAATGAAAATTAATTAATAACAGTACAAATGCAGGAATACAGTGTTCTTTCTTCAAAATTAAAAACAATATTAAGATCTATGATTTATATCGATATCATCCCACAAGGGTATCACAATTAAATTTAAATTTTTAGTTTTGTTTCGCAATTTATGGTCATTAAATCTTTTTGACTGTTATAATAATCTTATAGGCGGCATCTTAACTTGCTTTGCCATTTACCCGACAAAAGGATATGATTGCGAAGGAGTCAAAAACATGTTAAGTGGGATCAAGAATGAAATCGATTTTTGTTGAGCGATGTCTCAAGTTTTGGGTTGGGAAATTTAATTTTGTTTGATGCGTGAGGCAGCAAGAGCAGCAACTCAGAAAGAGTTATAATATGGTGAGCAATTCAATACAGAAGCTGGTCCCCCTAGTCCAGAAGTTAGCTCCCCTGATTTCTCACCTATTGAACATGTATAGGACCTGATAAGAAAGATTGGGCCAACTTCTAGCTTAATAATAAAGATAAGGTGTCCAAAATATTGATCATTTTAAATTCGAAGCAAATCTAGGAGTGGTGATCAATAAATCCAGTATAAGCCGAACTTAACTGTTTTGCTATGTTCGAAAAGAGTTCCACATCTTTAATATTCAAAACGGGAGGAAAGGACTGCCTGAAAATAGATTAAAATATGAGTTTGAGACTGAAGGGGATTAGCGTTTAGTGTCATTTTTGATCCCATCATTTTTTTTATGCAAATATCGGCCCGATTGTTATTTTACAATTTTTGTCTTCTCTACTAATTTCAACATTATTTCAGATCTCCCACGGTTTGTTTTTTGTTTTCTACTTCCATCTCGATTGTCTCTTTTGCCTCAAGATCCCCTACTGTCTTTTCCGTAGAATTTCGATCTACCTTTTGATACCTTTACCTAATTATATTTATTATCAAAATAAAGAAACAAACTCGACGATAAAACAGAGATTATTAAAATTTCGTAGTCCAAAATTGTTCAATGATCACAATCCTTCATCTCTTGTGTCAAACAGGTAAGTAAAATCCCTAATCTTTTCGGTATTTCTCTGCGGTTGAAAGACTGGTTTAACAATCTTAATAGCCGATTTAAAGAAACGTCTTAGATAACTTTGAATATTTGTTTCGGAGAAATCTAACCGCATTGCATCCATCATTATGATTTCTGATAAATTGGCGTATTTGAGAAACAAAACCGAACATTTTAGAAAATTTCTGATGATTTATTTCTTATTATTTTCAATAGCGTTTGTTAAATATTTTTCTTTAAATATTAAAAAACAAAACATTTTATGTAATGCTTACCTAAGAAATTCCATTGATCAAAATCACAAGTCTCGTACAAATGTTCTTGATAGCTGAGAGCTAGCTGGTCCCTCTCCTGTACTTGTACGGGCTCGATAATAGCCCTTACGCTCCTGCTGTCATTCTTCCGTGCTGCTACATGAAGGGGTGAATCACCTTGCGGCCCCCTCGGAGAAGGTTTCGCACCTGCCACGATGAGCCATCTGACGATTCTCCATTGTCCTGTCTCGACGGCGAGGTGTAGTGGAGTTTGGTTGTCGTCGTTGGCGGTATCTAGGAGTTTCGGGTGGGGTACTGCACGGATCAGTGCTACGGCCACTTCGAGGAAACCTTGGGCGATCGCCATGTGAAGATGTCTGCAAAGAAATCAAGTGTTTTTGTAAAGATATGTCTAAAGAAACGATAATTTGGGTATGAGATTAGACAGCTTGTGATACATTATAGATACGAGCAGTTCGCATACTATTATATAGAAATGTTATGTCAGAAATGGAGTTTGAACCTATTACGCAAGTTTTAGAATAGTTGTGACGATATTGATGGAAATCAGTACCTACGTAAATATTTGGATGTGAAAGCTGGCCCAATAAGTTCTCGTTTCAACTTTCTTGATATGTTTGCGACTGTTCCTTTTTTGGATTCCTTATTATGCCCAAATTCGTCCCCTCTTTTAAGCCCATTTTTTGTACTGAATAAAAAACACGCAAAATTGTGCTCTTCAAATATTTACCACAAACGAGTAAATTACGGTTTTCTGTAGTTTTGAAATTCCAGTAATACAGGAAAAAAACAAACTTAATACAACCAGTATGCGTAACTTCAAAAAATAAACGAAATGTTAAGCAAGTTAACAAACAACTTTTGAGTAAAACAAATTATGTATCAACGATCGAAAACAATGCCGACTGTTTTAGCTGGGAATTCCAAAAATTCTTGGTCTGTTTCTAGAGAAATCCTAACTCCACATACTGATGAAGCCAGAACCGGACTGGTATTTAAAAACCGCCGTTTTTTATCGACGATGAGACGTATATAAATTTTTTTAATTTAACCTCCAAAAGATAATGTGAACGTACTTAAATATACATAAAAATTCCTTAAATTACACAACTTGAATACATAATCATTTAAATAGACATACCTTCATAAAAATGGAAATTTATCAAGTATATAATTGTACAGAATGGCGTCTATGATTTATCGTTTTATCCTGTAAAGAGCAGTATTTGATGATAAGCAATTGGTATGGTAATAAACACTACAGAATGAAACATTTGAATGAAAATATTATCCCAAACAGGTGGCATTATAATACGAGAGATAAACAATTCCATTCAAATGGAAACACCTTGTATAAATTGTTCATTAGAGAGTAAGACAGGAAGAAAGAACAACCAGATCTCTTATATCCCTTTCTATTTGATATATTGTCTTCTCTTGATCTAAATATGAAGAATGAGTTTTGAAATCAATTGGAAATTTAAATACATTTAATTTGGGCCTTCAACTTCCTAGATTTATAGGTTAGGTTAGATTTTTTTTCAAAATCTGAGTGAGGCGCTGAAGAAATGGAGAAACTCCTCAATGGAACAATGCAGTCATTATTTCATTACACAAGCAAGGAGACATAACAGATCCAAAAAACTACCGTACTATCAGTTTAGAGAACAACCTGGATTTAGATCAGGATACAGCACTAACGACCACTTACTAGTGATAAAGAACCTGATGGTCTGCAGAATACATTAAACCATCGGCACTGATATTTGTCGACTACGAGAAAGCATTCGATACCATAAGGCATCAGAAAATGTTAAAAGCATTGACAGAATACTGCATAGACCATCGCTACACTAATATAATCAAATTTATCTACCAAAATGGCCCAGCTGGAGGTCGGACTAAAGATTAATATGAACATGGCGCAAATAATGACCAATCTGGTGCTAAATCGAAATATTGCTATTGATGCAAGGGATATTGTGCAGACTACATCGCGCAAGTACTTAGGACATGAAGTTGGGCAGAGATGACCAGACATGTGAGCTCTCACGTCGCATAGAATTAGCCTGGGCAGCGTTTGATAAATTAAACTATGTACTTTGACCAGTGTGTGTTACCTCTACTCACTTATGGAGCGGAAACATTAAGACTCACAAAAAAGGTAGTTAATAAGATTCGCGTGACTCAGATGGCTATGGGGCGCTAGATGTTAGGTGCCTCTCTGAGAGGCCGAATCCCAAACGAGGAAATACGTCATAGAACAAAAACAACAGACGCTATAGAAAAAATTGCTTCGTTAAAATGGAATTGGGTAGAAAACGTCGCCAGATTATCAGACAACCGATGGATAAAACGTATTTTAGAGTGGAGACCAAGGCAAGAAGCAAGACGCAGCAGAGGATGAAGTCTTATTCTTATTTATTTTACCTATCTTAAGAATAAATTGGCTCTGGATAGAGAACTTATATAAAGAAATGGATAGAATAGGGTAAGTTTGAATTGCATCCTGTGAAGAACTGCAACATAAACAAAGGTTTTAGGTAGAGAGTACAAATAGACTACGCCGCTTCGTTATTTGAAATTGATATTAACCATCATTTGATGACTAATAAAAACAACAGATTGACGGGACCATGTGGTATTGAAAATATGTGAGTGATAGAAACACCTGGAAGACCCAGTAAAGTATGTTAAAGAATATTTGTGTACTATGAACATAAATAAATAAAAACAAGCAAACAGACAAGCAAGATTGAAAAAGTTATTACGGAAAAGACTATACACATCCCAAAGGTTTAAGTAAATTGGGAAGAAAAGAAGAGAAACTGCATCGATAATACAGTAAAGTAGCAATTTTATATTCAATACAAACAACCACTTGATAAGAATCGCCTCAAATCGATAGGGAATTAGTAGACTGTACATGCCATACCAGAACCTAAATAGTTTCGATGTGTGTCGCCAAAAATAACATCGGTATCTAGCCGTTGACAACTAAGAATAGACTCGCTACTTATAAATATTCTTAAGGTCTAACGTGCCGTCTCCTATGCAGATCTCGCGGATGTGACCAGACTTACTCATCTCGTTTGTATTTTGACTATGTCAAAATTTCGTTCAAGGTAAATTCGACGTGGCATTGTTAATTAGATACATTTTTATGGAAAATTTGGTGTATCTCATCTTTCTAGAGATGTAGAATTATTCTAGATCAAGAAAATAATTATTACGATGCAATTTTGTCGTGGGGGAGGACTCTTCACGCTTCCAGGTTTCGTTAGACTTATTTGAGCAAGTAAAGTTCAGCAGGACAAGAGATGAGTGATCATCTAGCCCTTAGACACTCGCGTAACGAAAACACGACTAGAGAAAACGTACGTTGACGCTCAGCAAGACGAAGATGAGCGATACAGTAAAAAAACACGTTTACCCAAGACCTTTGCCTAAAAGAGACTCAACAGCAAGAGCAAAACCTATCTGAAAGCCATAAATATATGTGGAGGGTATACACAAAAGAGCTGGAAACGTGTACAAGCATTAGGCCGAACTACTCTTAATCTACAATCTATAATATATATTTCCGTCACAATGTGAATCTACATATTTTTAAGAGGCGTTAGGTGGTGTCGTTATTAATAAACAAATATCTTGTATGCATGAATAGGAATGTAATAAGCTATTTTGAAGCTTATTATATAAATGATTATTTCTTAAAGTAATAGAGGAAGAAATTCAGCGAAAAATATCCTTAAATACCGTGTGCGAAAGTACTTCCTTCAGTGGCATACTATTTCTTGCAAATAACTTGATCACTCCAAAATAAATGCAAACCTTCAAGGTAAAAGTGAGAAAACTGGACTTGAGATAGACCTCACCTACGAGATTATGTAGAAACCACTGCAAACGGTTTATAATGAGTGTCAGAGAGTAACTTTAAAATCGGAAATGATAGAATTATTAAAATATGTCCAAGGTTAGCTGAATCATTGTCTTTTCCGAATGGAGAACTTGAATAACAGAATTTAACAAGAAAGTGATCGGTTTACTAAAATGAAGAACTTCTCGAAAACAGAATGAAATCACAACAACCGATCGGTTTTAGATTTTAATATAATAAACACTAGTGAGAAAATCATGTTTGGTACAAAATATAATCAAGATTTATACAACAAAAAAATACAAAAATTAGTGAGCCACTAATGTTTGTTGAGAACGATTTCGGAAGTGGAAATTGAAACGTCAATAAAAGTACTTTAACCTTTAAGTGTGGCTTATTCCCATTTAAATAGTAATTAGTTTAAAATGCCACAAGAAAATAGCTTCAGAACAATATTAAAAAAATACAAAAAAGAACATCATTCAATCTGTTACTGCTTAGTTAAGGTTATTAAAAGATAATATACTGTTATCATAAGCATCTATTCTCGATTTTGAGATGCTTGATACCATAGTTTTTATTGCGGCGGATGGCATGGCTTTTAAACGCAAAAAAGTCAAATATTGATACGTTCTCTTCTTTTTATAAGGTAAAGTTTTTAAAGTAAATACCTTTGTCCTATTAAGCTCTTCCAAAGCATAGAAACATTTTAAAGATATACCGTTTCCTAATGCTACAAAAAAATTCTATACTTGATTCCTAAAAATCATACGAACAATTTAAATTTTGCCGAGAATAACAAATTGGGACCCCAAAAAAAGAAGTCATGTTTTAAAGATATTTCTACGAATTTTGCACTCTAGGATGTACCAAAACATAGAACAACAACTTGGTGACACAAAGTTTGGATTCCGCAATAACCTTGGAACAAGAATGTGTTTTGTTGACTTTGAGAAGGCCTTTGATCGAGTAAAACATACTGAAATGATAGCCATTCTTCAGCAGGTAGGTATTGATGATAAAGACCTACGCATTATTAAAAATCTTTAATGACATCCACGTGGAAACATCAGGATTGACCGGCACACTTCTCAAGAGCTTCAAATACGAAGAGGAGTAAGGCAGGGCTTAGAGAGAACTAACAGTATCACTTACACTTGTAATCTAAATGAGAACTGGAACATGAGCAAAGAAATTAGAATACGGATAGAATAGACCAAAGCTGCATTCTTTAAGATGAAAAAACTGTTATGTGGAAACAATATTACTTTAAGTCTGAAAATTAGATTAGTGAGATGTTATGTGTTCTCTACTCTTTTGTATGGTGTCGAAGGTTGGACTTTGAAGGATACACTTCTCAAGAAACTTTAAGCCCTCGAAATCTGGGTGTATCGGAGAATCCTACGAATAAGTTGGGTGGATAGAGTTCGTAACGAAGTTGTTTTGCATCGGATGGGAAAAGTTACGGAACTCGTC